GCGAGGGCAGCCGGGGAGGGGAAGCCCTCGCTATTATCACCCTCGCCATCCTCGTTATAGGCTTCACCGCCAGAGGTGGGGCGGCTTCGGAGAGGTGAGGTTGAGCCAGCAGCGGATGCGCGGAGGAAGGACGTGGCAGGTGGTAGTGCAAGGAGGGAGACGTCTGGGGGAGGGTTAGATGATGGAAGGAGAGGGAAAGAGAGTGGGATGGAAGGGATGCATTGGAGACAGACTTACTGTGTTCAAGGAGAGACGATGAAGGGAGAGATGAGAGATCAAGAGGAAAAAACGGGTCTGTTTCTTGTACGATGAGGAGGAGACAAACATTTCTCGTGTAGAGGGGAAGAAGGCAGAGTGCTTGTGCAAGAGGGGAGAAAGAAGGCTGTGGGGTGTATGGGTGTGTGATTGCAGAGAGCGAGGCTCTGCATTGCTCTCTGCTCGGACCCTCCCTCTTTGTCTCTCTCTTCCCTCTCCCACTCTCCCACTCGGTTTGCCGCAAAACAGACTCCTTTCTCTCCCGTCCCGTCCCATCCCGTCCCCTCCCGTCCCCTCCCGTCCCCTCCCATCCCCTCCCATCCCCTCCCGTCAATCCCGTTCTGTCCCCTACCCTTCCTTAATTCCCTCCCCTCTCACCCGATTTGAGGAAGGGTGAGGGACACGTGGCACGCCACGGGCTGCCCTGCAGCAGCTGCTCACTCCACTGCTCCGACAGAAACGACGGATCTCGGTCAATCACAGGCAGCCAACTGGCGGAAAGGGAATACGGGAAGCGGAGAGGGGAGGGAAAGAGGGGAGGGAAAGAGGGGAGGGAGAGAGGGGAGGGGAGGGGGACGGCGAAAAGGGGTCGCGGGACAAGATTGGGAAAGTCATGATGATGTGAGATGGGTCGGCAGGCAGAATTGGTGAGATGGGTCGGCAGGCAGAATTGGTGAGATGGGTCGGCAGGCAGAATTGGTGAGATGGGTCGGCAGGCAGAATTGGTGAGATGGGTCGGCAGGCAGAATTGGTGAGATGGGTCGGCAGAATTGGGTTACAACCTACATTACAAGTGTGGTTTGGGTAATAACAAGAGTCTGTCTCCTTCTCCTCTATTCGTTATTCCACGATGGAACGGCAGAACGATGTGAAGACGGCAAGATACGACATGTCCTGGTTGACCTACGACATGGCATGCCCACATTGGGCGAACCAACTCCACTGGTGCGAAGCGATTGAGTCCAGATACGATGTATCGGTCCACGCGCGACGTGACATTTGCGGTTTGATACCCTCGCTGGCTTGATCTTTCGGGTTTGACTTGGTTGACTTTCTTGAACCGTTTCTGAGCTACTCGAATATTCTTCAACGCATTGCCCTATTGAGCCTCCCCACCAACATTCGTGAACACACGCGATAAGAATACCAGACCGAGCCTAACGGAGTAGCTAATATAGGGGATAACCTGTGCGAAACCTACCCACCTCAACTGGCCGGCGACACTCTGAAAGTCGCGCATTGTCGCAGCGAGTGCGCTCGTCGCGCGAATAGATACCCTTTCGCCGCATTCTGCGGGAGACGACGACACGACGACTGTCCGTGCGACAGGCACGGAGCCTGCGACGGTATCGGCGGGCGAAGGCGACGCTCTGTACAAGTGGCAGAGCGTGAGGTTGAGCGAGAGACAGATGTACGACGCCGCTGCTGTCGCGATAGAGACGCCCATTGCTGGCGTCGTAAATGGCGGGACTGATGAGTAACAGAGCTCAGCGCATCCCTTATATTTTTATCCTGCTGCTCCAACCAACATGGGACTTGAATCATGTGCAACAAATGGTGATGGTCCAGTCTATTTAGATGTACCTGGAGAGTGATGGTGGGTTCCCTCAGATGTCTACAGTGAAAAAGGCCTCATGTGCTAAGAAATGGGAGAAACTTGGGGTATGATGCGCTATAAGTGATATCGGGCTGTCCTGTAGTGTACCGTTTCAAAGACTCGACATCCTCCAAAGGATTACACCCTGCTTCTCATCTGCTCCTGACCTCAGAACAGCTTGGTATAAGCACACTTGTACTTCACACAAACCAGCAATATGGGATAAAAAGAAACCGCGTTGAAACCCTTCAAATCTTTTTTTTTTTTTTTTTAAGAACGAGTTTGCACTATACCAATGCAAATACATTCACAGTCGTAACTGAATTCCAGAGGGAAGCATGCAAACTGCAGTCAAAGACTCCGGCGCAGCCCCCCCTGCATCCGCCTACGGTGGCCGATGAAACGTCTTGGGGTTCTGCCATATGGATAGGAAGCCCATCCTCCACGTGGCCTGCTCCCCTGCCTCACAGATCCTCGCGATCGCCGCACGTTCATCTCCTTCCAGCCCCCCCCATGGGTCCCATGGTTGCCCTTTTCTCCCCCCCCCCCACCTGCCTTCCTCAACTTTTCCGCTCTGTAGAGCCTCGCATGCCGCATGAAGTCATAGATTGCCGCCCGTGCCACCTTTTTCCTCTGAAATTTCTCCTTCCAATACACCGCATCCACTCTGGCCAACCAAATCCTGCGCATTGTCACTGCTGTCAACGTCGCCCCTGGAAACCCGGATTTCGTGGCCCCCTCCTGAAACAGCATGTCTCCCAGTGTCCTCGTTTGGTCTGCTGGGTTTATGATCCCCAATGACCTCAGCAGCGCGCCGATCACCGGTTGGATGACTGGGCAGGTGAGCATGCAGTGAGCTAGGGTTTCTGGCTCTCCACAGTGTGGGCAGCACCCCCTGGCTCCAAGAAAAACCAGCCTCCCCCCCACCTGCAGGTTCTTGCTGTGCATCCTCAGCAGCACATCTCTTGCTCTGTACGGGATCACCAGCGAGTCCCTTCTTTCTCTGACCGCCTTCCAGGCTATTTTGTTCCCCCACTCCTCTTCCCATTCGCGTCTCCGTCTGGACGTCACCACGGGCCCTGCCAGCGCCCTCCTAATCGCTTTCGGTGCAGCCGGCCTCATATCGTCTCCTACCAGCGATGTCAGGCACAGCTTCGCTCTCGGCTCGCCCATCGCGCCAAGCACTCTCCCCCCTTTTACTGTCACCGGGGTTATACTCTTAACAGGGAACGAAACCGCGTAAGGTCTTTGCGGCACCACCAGACTTGCGCCGTCCGGACACTCCAGATGGTCGGTAGCCACCTCCTCATCCTTGACCCCCTTTACCGTCCAGTAAAGAAACTTCTGCGCCTGTGCCAGAAATGTTCACACCACCTTTGCTGCTGCCACCACTGCTCCCGCTGACCTCTGCACCGTCAACATCGCCTTCCACTCGTCAGGGATCGCCTCATACGCTTTTCTCGCCCATCTCCCCGATGCCACGCTTCCGAAATCTGTTGTTAGCTCCTTGACGCTTTTAACTTCCCTGCTACCATCTCCCCTAGTGATGAGCAGGTCTCCCAGTCTGGTTGTCCGGATACCTGCTGCCCCCTGGCGGTTCCCGAACGGGCTCCCCCCCTTGAACATAATTTTCCGGTTGAAGCATAGCATCTCGCGCTCGGCTTCCCACCCATTCGATGGCGCCGGAAGGTCTGCAAACGGGGACTCCCAGAAAACTTCTGCTATCGCCTTCCACCTCTTGCTACCTTTTCCCCAATGTCTACCAGCAGACTTGTGGGCGAAAAAGGTCGCCACTCCCTGCGGAAGTGCCGCCGCCTTCTCCGACAACCACCGTTTGGTAACGTCTTGCTCCGTGAGAAATTTCCCCACCAACCCTTCAAATCTGGTCGTTCCTCAAAACTGGGATTCTGTAGCCAAATTCTGGTTCGGAGACAGTAACCCGTGCTTCGCTAAAGGAACACCTCCTCGCTAAGCTCTTCCTTCCTGTCATCATGCTCACAGTGATTTCCTCTAGTTCAACACAATTCACAGCAAAACACATATGCTCCTCCAATCATGTCCGTTCGAACACGAGTTTTTTCGTCACAGCGCAATACCGATAATCGCTTGCGCCAGCGGCGCGAAATGCTGTCATGCCACACGTGCAAGCCGGGATTTTCTCGTCGAACCAAGGATAGTACAGCACCTATCGCATATGCTTGTGACGCGGCTTGCTGTCCTCAGAAATGGCACATCGAAGCGCGACAAGCGAGCGGTTCTTATTTAGAAGAGCAATACCTGATTCTCGATATTTCACACTGCAGCCAATCCTTCACAAAGTCTTGCGTCTCTTCTTATTCTCCACCCTCAGCTAGCAGAAGTATCGACCCTTTCGGCATTGTTGATTAGATTTCCTTCTTTCATGGCATCCCGCGCGCTCCTCCTCCCCCTCATCCTGCTCGCTCTGCTCCTCGCTGCTGAAGGTACGCACGGCTTCGGTCACAAGCAATGCAAGCGCAAACCAGACTTCTTGTCATACTTACATAGTGATTTGTGTATTCTAACGCAATTTCTCCCCATGTCTAGCAGGGGCTCGTATCAGGTATGTCCCGCGCATGAGGAGGGATATCGAGAATCAGACATGCCCGGATCCGCACGGCGCTAAAACAAGCCTCAAGACGTGCGCGTTACACTCTGTGTCCGACAAACGCGCGGAGTGGCAGGACGGCTGTCAGACTCGGATGGTCGCAGTTGGGACAGGGCCGTTGGTTCCGATGTTGTCATATGTGACACCGAAACTGACACATGCAGCGCGAAATGCACCAAAGACCTCAATCCCACACCTCAAAGCAGACTCCAGGATGTAACCAACTATTCCACAGTCACATCAGTGGTGTGGACTCTGGACCACTGAATGGTCTGCTGGTGCTTCATCTCATCAGGAGAATTTTGCTGGTTATGATGGTGCAAAGTGATACGGTAGGAGACTTCCAGCTTTATTGATATCCTGATCTCATAAATCTTCACTCCATGCAACATCTTTGAGGGATAGAAAAATAAGGTTAAATAGTTGATTATTGAACATCATACACTGTGCAACAAGAGGCTTGTAAAAGGTATCACCACATCACATTGTGGACACAAGGGCCAAGAAGAACTCAACAGTAATCTACTCAATCAGGTCAATGAAGAGCCGGTCTTCAAAGAAACAGCTGTCACGGCGGAACCCAGGCAGCCTCAACAAATGCTCTGGAATCTTCACACCCACAGATTTCTCATCTATGCACAGCTCGGGCAGCCCTGTCAATGCTGTCAATGAGTCGGGCAGGTACAGCAGATTCGGGCAGTTCTGGACAACAAAAGTCTGGAGGAATTTCAGCTGCCCGACGCCAGCCGGGAGAGCCTGAATGGCTGGACAGAACGCCACCACCAGCCTCTGCAGAAACTGAAGGCTGCCCAGAGACTCGGGCAGCTTGGAAAGCTTCGAGCAACCAATCAGATCCAACCGCCGAAGACTAACCAGCTGGGAAATCTCCTCTGGAAGCTCAGCTATCCCGGCAGGCTTGGTTTTCTTCTCCGGTGTGGGTGGCAAGTCAGCCGGCAGAATCAGCATAAGGGAAGAGTTTATCCCACCGCCGGTCTCTGTGGTAACCGCATCGCTGCCTGTGCCCATACCAACTGCGCTACTCCCTGCAGCGAGACCAGAGAGCGATGCCTGAGACGCTGATCGGGAGCACATGCGGCTGGGAGAATTCACTGGCAGATCTGAGAATGACTCCCGGTTTCTGGTCTCGGTGAAGTCAAGGACGAGGCTTTCGAGGAGTCGGAGAGAGAAGAAGGCGGGCGGGAGGGCGGTGAGGGAGACGTTGGCTCGTAGGACCAGCTGGCGCAGATTGCACATGGCTGATGGGGTGATGCCCATGGATGCCGGCAGGGCGAGCAGACCACTCGGACCATCATCATCCTCATCCTCCTCATCATCCTCCTCGTTATCGTCAACATTGTCATGACCATAACTATTGTGATTTTCTTCGTCCCCGTTTCTGCCGGTGCTTGCGCCATCGTCGCTGGCAGCGGTGTCGTCAGTGCCGTTCATGCTCATATGCATGTCCAAGGCCGTTGAATGGCTCACTATGCTCATCCCATCCTCCTCCCCATCCTCCTCCTCACCCTCCTCCCCATCCTCATCCTCCTCATCCTCATCATCATCCACCTTGTTATCCACAAGAAGCAGCTGGAGGCTGCCCGAGCTGCCCAGAGATTCGGGCAACGTGGCAAGAGAATAGCAGCCAATGAGCTTCAGCGAGTAGAGGTACGGAAGCTGCCCCAGAGATTCGGGCAGGGAGGTGAGGGCGAAGCAGTTGCGGAGCTCCAATCGCACTAGACTTGTCAGCTGTCCGAAGGAGTTGGGCAGGGATAAAAGTCCGCAAGCTTCGGACTCCTCTGCAAAGCCCTTGTTGTCGAAGACAAATTCTTCTAGCTGATAAAGCTGCCCGAAAGATTCGGGCAGATCCAGCATCAACGGGCAGCCGACAATCTTCAGGAACCGCAGGGAGCAGAGCTGACCGAAAGATTGAGGAAGCTCTTTTAGGCTGCCCAGCCAAGTTTCACTTGATGCCATGTTGATCACCATCTCCTCCAATTCTTTCAGCTGCCCGATGCTCTCGGGCAGGCTGCGAACTGACATGCACCAGCACATCTTGAACCACTTCAGGCGCTTAAGCTGCCCGATAGTTTCGGGCAGCTGGCGTAGACAATCCAGACTCAGCAGCTCCAGCTCCTCCAATCCAGTCAGCTGCCCAATTTCCTCAGGCAGTGTAGGGAGCTGCAAGCAGGAGTCCAGCACGAGGCGGCGAAGATTCGAAAGCTGACCGAGGGCAGGTGGAAGAGAACGCAAACCGAGCTTCGAAGACTGATTCGTTATAAGCAGCTCCTCTAAGAGCGAGAGGCGGGCGATGGAGGCCGGGAGGGAGCGTATGAATCGGCCGGTGCAGAGCGAGAGAGAGCGGAGGGAGGGGAGGGAGGTGAAGAGGGTGGTGAGGCCTGCTGGTGTTCTTGCAGAGGTGCGCTCCTGTGGGTGATGGGGGGAGAGGGAGAGGAGGGGAGATGGGGCAGATATGAGAATTGGGGAGCTAAAAGGAACCTCTATAAAATTAGGACAAACAAAGAAGGTTCTTAAATCGTTTCTGAACAGCACAGATAGTCAAAGTTTTCCATCCAAACTCACAAAAAAAACGCATAGCAGTCTAGCAGATGTCTATTACACCAACTTACATTGTAACCAGGGAAGACATCAATGTGCAGAGCCTGCAGCTCCAATCTGGACGAAGCAATCATCTCGAAAACATCGTCCCCTTCAACCTCCAGACTATTCCAGGGCAGGTACAGCAATGCCAGGTTCGGGTAACAGGCTAGGTACCGAGCCAGCAGAGGCTTGGGGAGCAGGCGGTTCGGAAGGAGGTAGAGCGCTTGCAGCGCGAGGCAGGAGAGGGCGGCGAAGCGCCGGGATAGGCCGAGACACGCCGCCCAGTCGAGCGGGTCGGTGAGTCGAGAGAGGATCTGGACGATGAACTCGTCTGGCAGATCCGATAGCTGGGTGGCTCTTGAGTCATCTGGTGGGAAAGTTGAAAGGAGGGAGAGAAGGGAGGGATTAGTTTTGAGAATTCTCAAAACTAATCTCAAACAGAAGGGGGGACAAGGTATAGTAAGGAGGCGGATGATAATTAAGAAGAATTTGGAGACGTCCCAAAAACCGAAGGGAGGAATGAAAAGTCTGTGCCGGAACTGCAGCCCGAGTTGCAAATAAATGAAGACCTTCCGAACAGCAACATAAGCATACCAAGGGCTTCATATAGCTGCCTCTGCTGCTCCATCTTGGCACACAGGTGAGCCCATCTGGTGGGAGACTCCAACGCCCCCAGCAGCTCCCTAATGGGACTCTGCTCCCCCCACTCCTCCACCCTCCCTCTCGCCTCTGCACCCGTGTTGCTGCTTGCAGCTGCAACCTCTGCCTCTGCTGCCTCTTTTTCTGCTCCAACCCCCCCAACAACTTTCCCTTCTACCACAGCTGGTCCGTCCCTGCTCCTAGCCTCCTCTTCGTTCTCCATCCCTGCCTCCTCTTCTCCCTCTGCTATCCCTCTGTATATCGAATGCTGCTGCCCACCTGCCATCACCCCACCAGTCGCCATTACCCCAGTTGCAACGCTTCTCGCCCTCTTCCATCCCTCCTGCCGGCACGCCTCCCCATGCATTTCTCCAATCGCCCCCACCGACTTCCCTGCCGTCCCCCCCGCCACATCAACTGCACCAAACACCAATGCTCCATTCCCCAACACCCCAGCCACATCACCCACCCCTCCCTCCCTGCCTCCGTGCATTCCCGCTACAACCTCCGCCGCTACAGCCGCCAGGGCAGCAGCGCCTGCACCCTCTTGCCTCCCTGCATTCGAACCGGGAGCAGCTGCTCCGGGCTGAGTCGCTGCTTTCACAGAGAGCAGAATGTCCTTCCATGTCTTGCCCATGCTGCTGCCACCATTGCTGGTAGCAGTAACGCTGTTGCTGTCGCCACTGCCGCTGGCCTCGCTTGAAGGCACTGTTGCAGCTGCTGGCCATCCTGTCTGCATGCCCTCACTCGCTGGACCCTCCTCCTCTCGCTCCTCCTCTCCCTCCTCCGCATCGTCCTCATCCTCCCCTTCATCTTCCTCCTCTCTCTCCTCCTCGCTGTCTGCATCATCCCCCAGCATTTCCTCCTCGTGCCCTTCTCCATCTATGTCCCCACTGCCCTTCATTATAAGCACTTCCCCCGCACCTCCCACCAACCCTCCTGGTGATCCCACTCTTATCTGTCGATCCAACGACCGAGATTTGCTGTATCCCCCACTCCCTCCGCCATTCCCCAAACCCCCAACCCCTCCTGCTCCTCCTCCCCCTACCTCCCCCATGCCAGCACCTCTCCTCCCCGCCCCCTCGCGGAAATCCGAATCTCTCGACGAATCACGGAACTCGCCAAACCTCAGGTCCCTCGCATCCCCACCGAACCTCACGCTGCTGCCGAACCTCGGCGGCAACCGTGGAGGCAGGCCTCGGGCCATGGGCGACTGGCTCGGGCTCACAGACGAGGTTCGGATGGGAAAGCCGCTAGGATAAGCCCCCGGAGAGGCGGAATAACGTGGGAGGTTCGGCGAAGGGGAGCGGCGGCGCTGAGGGGAAACTCCTGCCAAGGCTGCTGCTGCCACTGCTGCAGCATCAAATGCACGGAACCTACTAGGGCTGAAGCTTCCTCGGGGGCGAATGGGGCTCACGAGATGGGTGGAGGGGCAGCGAGTGTAGCAGGGGAGATGGGCGGATGGGGAGTGAGGGATGGAGCGCGGTGACGGGGAGTAGGGACGGTGGATGAGGCGTGGGGAGGGAGCAGGGTAGTGCTGCTGCTGCTGCTGCTGCTGCTGGATGCTCTTGTCATTGCCGTACAGCGTGGTGGGTTCACCATTGCTATTAGATTGGCCTTGACTAACATTGTCACCAGAGGTAGCACCAGTGGAAGCAAGAGCAGCCAGGGCCTTCACACGGCCCTCACCAGCGTCCAGAGAGGAGTCCTTTGGAGCACTGTCAGCAGTTTCAGCACTGTTATTGGCAGCAGCAGAGGCAGCCAGAGCAGCGAGCTCTCTCACTCTCCCCCCAGCAACATCCAGAGAGGGGTCGTTTGAAGCAGCACTGGCGGTTGCACTGCTGTTGGCAGCAGCAGAGGCAGCCAGAGCAGCGAGCTCTCTCACCCGCCCCTCTCCAACCTCCAGAGAGACCAAGTCCTTTGAAGCACCGCCGGTGCTTTCAGCACTGTTGTTTGCAGCAGCAGAGGCAGCCCGAGCAGCAAGAGCCTTCACACGCCCCTCTGCAAAATCAGGATTCGCCACACCTTTAGGCGTTGCACTGACAGAGTCAGCAGCTGCCACAGAAGCCACCACAGCAGCAAGAGCCTTCACACGCCCCTCTGCAACATCTAGAGCCGCTGCCTCTTCAAGGGGTGCAATGGTGGTATCAGCAGCAGCAGGAGCAGCCACAGAGGGAGCAAGAGCCTTCACCCATCCCTCAGCAACGTCTCCAGTCACCACCACCTCTTTAGGGGGTGCACTGGTGGCGTCAGCAGCAGCAGTGGATGCCACCGCAGCAGCCAGCGCCTTCACCCTCCCCCCAGCAATATCTAGACCCGGTGACTCTTTAGAGGGTGCACTGGTGGTATCATCAGCAGCAGGAGCAGCCGCAAAGGCAGCAAGAGCCTTCACACGCCCCCCAGCAACATCTACAGCCGCTGGCTCTTTAGAGGGTGCAGGGGTGGTATCAGCAGAAGCAGCAGACGCCACCACAGCAGCAAGAGCCTTCACACGCCCCCCAGCAACATCTAGACCCGCTGACTCGTTAGAGGGTGCACTGGTGGCGCCAGCAGCACCCACAGACGCCACCACAGCAGCCAGAGCTTTCACATGCCCGCCAGCGATATCTACAGCCGCCGCCTCTTTGGGGGATGGACTGGTGGCGTCAGCAGGAGCAGCAGTTGATGCAACCACGGCAGCCAGAGCTTTCACATGCCCGCCAGGAACATTTATAGTTGCTGCCTCTTTCGGGGCTGCAGCTGTGGTGTCAGGAGTTGCAGACGCCACTACAGCAGCAAGAGCCTTCACACGCCCCTCTGCAACATTCAGAGTCGCCGGTTCCTTAGAGGGGGCACTGGTTGCGTCAGCAGACGCAGATGAAGCCACCACAGCAGCCAGTGCTTTCACCCTCCCAGCAGAAACGTCCACAGTCGCAGCCTCCTTAGGGGTTGCACTGGTGGTATCAGCAGCGGCAGACGCCACCACCGCAGCAAGGGCCTTCACCCTTCCCCCAGCAACATCTACAGCCGCTGGCTCTTTAGAGGGTGCAGGGGTGGTATCAGCAGAAGCAGCAGACGCCACCACAGCAGCAAGAGCCTTCACACGCCCCCCAGCAACACCTAACGCCACTCCCTCTTTAGGGGATGCAATGGTGGTACTAGCAGCAGCAGCAGCAGCAGCAGCAGCAGCAGCAGCAGCAGCAGTAGGCGACAGCATAGCAGCAGCAAGGGCCTTCACACGCCCCTCACCCTCAGACACATTCAACAGGGGGTCTCTGGCAGAATCACTGCCTGCTTCCTCATCCGCTCCTCCTCCTGCCTCAGCTGGGCTCTCCTCAGCGGGAGCATCCTCAGCCTCCATACTCCAAAACTCTTCACCTCCAGCCTGCATATCCGTGTGCCCTGTCTCGTGCTCTAACTCATTCTCCTCTTCCTCCTCGGTTGAACCCTTCTCAGCTGGACCCTCCTCAGCCTCCATATTCCACGACTCTTCCCCTCCAGCCTCCGTATCCATGTGCCCTGCATCGTCCTCTGGTTCCTGCTCTACCTCCTCCTCTGCACTCTTCTCATTGGCCTGTTCAGCTGGACTATCCTCAGCCTCAATACTAGAAGAGTCTTCACCCCCAGCTGCCATATCCGTGTACCCTGCTTCTTCCGCTGGGTACTGCTCTATGCCCTCGTCTCCATTGTTCTCATCGTCCTCCTCAGCTGGACCCTCTTCATGTAGATACTTCTCAGCCTCCTCAACATTCCAAGAGTTCTCGCCCCCAACCTCCATATCTGCGTGTCCTGCCTTGTGCTCTAAGTTCTCCTCCTCCTCCTCCTCCTCCTCCTCCTCCTCCTCCTCCTCCTCCTCCTCCTCCTCCTCCTCCTCCTCCTCCTCCTCCTCCTCCTCCTCCTCCTCCTCCTCCTCCTCCTCCTCCTCCTCCTCATTCTCTTCGTTACCTTTTTGCTCCATTCCATCTTCCTCCTCCTGTGTATCCTCCCCTTCCTCGCCTCCCCCCTCTTCCCCCTCCTCCTCCTCTGCCTCTCCAAAATCTTCTTCCTTCCCCTCCTCTTCTTTCTCTTCCTCCTCTTCTCCCTCCCCTTCCTCTGCTCCACCCTCACCCTCCTCATCATTATCATCCTCTTCCTCCTCCTCCTCCACCTCCTCTTCCTCCTCTTCCTCCTCTTCCTCCTCCTCCTCTTCCTCCTCCTCGCTACCACTACTATCCAGCAGCGAAGGCCGCTTTCTCTCTTTCACCATACTCCGACTCATTCCCAGGTTAGCACCACCCCCTCCCGCACGCCCCATGCTGTCCCGAACCACCATGCTCCGACTCCCCAGCCCAGCACTCCCCCCTGTGAGCCCCATGATCTCCCGAGTCACTGCACTGGCCGGCACGTGCAGGCCCTGTGACGCCACCAGAGAGAGCATCCGCGATCGCTGCAAGTTCGAAGGGAAGATGCGAAGAGTGAGAGAGAGGAGAAATGGTTAACAGGTATCAGCAGCACCAGCACTCCCTCCTGTGAGTCCCATGATCTCTCGAGTCATTGCACTGGCCGGCACATGCAGGCCCTGTGACGCCACCAGAGAGAGCATCTGTGAACGCTGCAAGGGGGGGAGGAGGGAGAAGAGACACAAAGAGTGGGAGACGGAAGGGATGGTTAAGAGGTACGCGCAACACCAGCACTCCCCCCTGTGAGCCCCATGATCTCCCGAGTCACTGCACTGGCCGGGACGTGAAGGCCCTGTGACGCCACCAGCGACAGCATCCGCGATCGCTGCAAGCAATGAAAGGGGGGTAAGGGAAGCAACACGGGTGAGTGAGCATTATGTCCCAGGATACCATACTGCGGCTCGCCCCCAGCCAGCACTCCCCCCTGTGAGCCCCATGATCTCGCGAGTCACTGCACTGGCCGGCACGTGCAGGCCCTGTGACGCCACCAGCGACAGCATCCGCGATCGCTGCAAAGGGGGTGGAAGGGGTGGAGGATAAGAGCGAGAAGAAAGGGGAAAGGTTGTCACGACATTGGTAAAATGAGGGGGTTGGGACTTCAGGCTATCTACAAGTGGTAAGAGCGAGGAAGTCAGAATAGGGTACGCAGAAACATGCAGCTCACCTTGCCCGGACTGTGAGGATTGGCCTGGCAACCAGCAGCAGCAGAGCAGCAGCAGCAGCATGGCAGGAACAGCAATAAGAGCGAGGAAGTCAGAATAGAGTACGCAGAAACATGCAGCTCACCTTGCCCGGACTGTGAGGATTGGGCTGCTGGCGACCAGCAGCACCTGCCATGGCCGGAAGCGCAATAGGAGCCACTCCTGCTGCTGCTCCCCCCGCTTGCCCCACAACACCTCCACCTCCTGTCCCAGACGCGCCCGTCCCGCTCCCCTCACCCGCCCCTGCTCCTCCCCCTCCGCCTCCCCCTGTGCCGCCCTCCCCCTCCCCCTCCTCGCGGATGCTCTGGCGGAATCTGAGCTCCCCCAGCACCGCATTGAACCGCTTCATGCTCGCCACACGCAGCCGCAGCGCCCGCTGCTCCTCCGCGTTCCTCTCCTCCTGCTCCTGCCGCTTTATCCTCGCTTCCTCGTCCTCCTCCTCTTCCTTCTCCTCTGGCTTGCTCCTCGGGCTGCTGTTTGTGCTCTCTTTTTCACTTGCCTCCTCCTCCTCCTCTTCCTCCTCCTCTTCCTCTTCTTCCTCTTCCTGCTCCTCATACTCTTCATACTCCTCCTCCTGCTCCTCCTCCTGTTCCTCCTCCTGCTCTTCCTCCTGTTGCTCCCCTTCCGAATCTTGTCCCTCTGCGCTTTCTCCTTCTTTTCCACCTGCTGCACCTGCTCCCTCCTCTGCCACCTCCTCTGATTTATCCTCGTCTGTGACTTCCTCTGTAACCTCTACAGTAACCTCCTCTTCTGTATACTCCTCTGTAACTTCTACAGTAACTTCCTCTTCAGTGTATTCTTCTGTTACCTCTACAGTTACCTCCTCGTATTCCGCCGTTTCTTCTACAGTCACCTCCTCGTATTCTCCCGTTTCTTCCACTTCTACAGTCACCTCCTCATATTCTCCCGTTTCTTCCACTTCTACAGTCACTTCCTCATATTCCTCTGTCACTTCGACTGTCACTTCTTCATACTCCTCCGTTTCCTCTACAGTCACCTCCTCATATTCCTCTGTCACTTCTACAGTCACCTCCTCAGTGGATTCCTCTCCTGCCTCACTCCCTCCTTCCTCCTCTTCCCCTGCACCCTCCTCCCCCTCCGCAGCCTCCCCACCTTCTGCACCCTCCTCCTCTACCTCCGCCTCCTCATTCTCCAATTCTTCCTCCTTTGTTTCTTTCGTTTCTTCCTCTTCTTTTTCATCCTCCTCGTTTTCCTCCTCTCCTCCTTCTCCACCCTCTTCCCCCTTCTCTTCCTCCCATGCCTCATTCTCCTGCTCCTCCACCTCAGCAAGTGCTTTCGATGCCACTTCAGCAGCCGCTCCCGATGCCACGTCAGCAGCCGCACCCGATGCCACGTCAGCAGCCGCTTCCGCTGTCACGTCAGCAGGTGCTTCCGCTGCCATGTCAACAGGTGCTTCCGCTGCCACATCAGCAGGTGCTTCCGTGGCCACATCAGCCGTTGCTTCCACTGCCACGTCAGCAGGAGTTTCTGATGCCACCTCAGCAGAGAACTCCCCCACAGCATCAGCCAGCGGACCTTCAGCAGCCGCAGATTCCACACCCTCTGCTCTCATGCTCCCCCCACCCTCTACTCTGCCTTCAAACTCACCCCCCTCCTCCTCTACCTTGCTAATGACGCCCTCTCCCTGTTCTACCTCTCCCTGTTCCACGGGCACCGAGACAGCAGGTGCTGTGGCAGCTAAGGCCGCAGCAGCCATAGCTGTTGCACCGGCAACGGCTGTTGCACCAGCCACCACAGCAGCAGAGGAAGCACTATCAGTTGTCGCGGCAGCACTCGCTGAATCAGCACTGCCAGCTGTAGCAGCCGAAGCAGCAGCAACAACTGAAGCAGCACTAGCAGGTGTAGTAGCAGCTTCCGCTGCAATGCCAGCTGTAGCAGCTGTAGCAGCAGCACCAACGGAAGCATCAACCTCTGGAGTGCGGGGTTGCTCACCAGGAGACACGGCCAACAGCTGCTGATGCTGCTGCTGTGAAGATCTGAAAGGAGGCACAGGGAGTTGCTCAGGCTGCTGCTGGAAGCGGTTGAGGAAGTCACTCCGCAGTCGCCCCACTGCTGCAGTTTGGGTAGGAGCCGGTGCTGCTGCAGTAGGAGAGGCGGCAGATGCAGGGGTCGGTGCTGCTGCCGCTGCGCTTGCCATGCCTGGCCTCCAGGCTCGGATGGGCACGGGCTTGGGCGCAGGTTCGGAATCGGACCAATCAGAGTCCGAGCCTGAGTCAGAGTCCTGATTGGGTCGCTTCATCCATGAGTCTGCAGCGCAAGGCTTGATGGTAACGGCAGGTGCTGTGCGGTGAGGAGGAGTAGAAGGCTGAGGGGAGGAAAGTGGCTGAGAGGAGGAGACGATTGTTGGATCAACAGATGGTTCAGGTAATGACGGTGCATCTGCTGCCATATCAGCTGGTACAGAAGTAGATGGACCTGATGCCACGTCAGCTGGCACAGGAGTGGATGGGCCTGATGCCACGTCAGCTGGCACAGGAGTGGATGGGTCTGATGCCACGTCAGCCGGAACCAGGTAGCCTTGTAACACCTCTCCACCTGAAAATTCACCTGACTGCACCTCTTCCTCTTGCACCGTCTCTGCCCCCTCTCCCTCTCTAACCTCATCCCCAGCAACAACTGCCAGTGCCGTTTCTGCCCCTGTTGTTGTTGCTGCTACTCCTGGCTCTGCTGCCAAATCACCAGAGTTTTCAGGAACGTATTCATCCTCAGCTGCAGCAGAAGCATCAGCCGCAATATCAGAGTCAACCACACCTGTAACAGTCACAAGTTGAGCAGGAGCATCAGTAAGAACGTGCTGCTGTTGTTGTTGCTGCTCCTGTTGCTGCTGCTCCTGTTGCTGCTGCTGTTCTTGCTGTTGCTGCACGTGCAGGGGTTGTGACGGAGGCTCAGAAACTTGCTGCTGCTGCTGTGGGGACCTAATGGGTGGCACCGAGGGTTGCTCCTGCTGCTGCTGCTCCTGCTCCTGCTGCTGGTGCTGCTGCTGGAAGCGGTTGAGGAAGTCACTCCGCAGTCGTCCCACGGGGCCAGTTTGTGGGGGAGGAGAGGCGGCAGGCGCAGGTGCTACTGCCGCCACACCACTCGCCGCACCTGCTCTCCAGGCTCGGATGGGCACAGGCTTGGGCGCAGGTTCGGAGTCGGACCAGTCAGAGTCCGAGGCTGAGTCAGAGTCAGCCTGATTGGGTCGCCTCATCCATGAGTCAGCAGCGCGGGGCTTGATGGTAACGGGAGGTGGGGGAATTTGAGGTGAAGCGAGGAGGGTGGGAGGCTGGGGGGAGGCGAGTGGGGGTGGAGAAGAGACAACCAAGATACCATCTCCCTTGATTTCCTCCTTAGCCTCTTCCTCTCCTTCCTTCATCTCTTCCTTACTGTCTTCCTTAGTCTCTTCATTACCACCTTCCTCTCTTTCTTCCTTCATCTCTTCCTTACCCTCTTCCTTGGTCTCTTCGTTACCCTCTTCCTCTCTTTCTTCCTTAGCCTCTTCCTGCATCTCTTCCATCCTCTCCTCCTTACCCTCTTCCACTCTCTCTTCCTCGTCCATCCTCTCCTCCTTACTCGCTGCCACTACCTCACTATCCTCTTCCACTCGCTCATACCCAGCCTCTTCTGTACTCTCCTCCTTACCCTCTTCCACTTTCTCTTCCTCTTCCACTCTCTCTTCCTTACCCTCTTCCACTCTCTCCTTACCCTCTTCCACTCTCTCTTCCTTACCCTCTTCCACTCTCTCTTCCTTACCCTCTTCCACTCTCTCTTCCTTACCCTCTTCCACTCTCTCTTCCTTACCCTCTTCCACTCTCTCTTCCTTACCTTCTTCCACTCTCTCTTCCTTACCCTCTTCCACTCTCTCTTCCTTACCCTCTTCCACTCTCTCTTCCTTACCCTCTTCCACTCTCTCTTCCTTACCCTCTTCCACTCTCTCTTCCTTACCCTCTTCCACTCTCTCTTCCTTACCCTCTTCCACTCTCTCTCCTTACCCTCTTCCACTCTCTCTTCCTTATCCTCTTCCACTCTCTCGTCCCTACCCTCTTCCACTCTCTCTTCCTTATCCTCTTCCACTCTCTCTTCCTTACCCTCTTCCACTCTCTCTTCCTTACCCTCTTCCACTCTCTCTTCCTTACCCTCTTCCACTCTCTCTTCCTTATCCTCTTCCAATCTCTCGTCCCTACCCTCTTCCACCCTCTCGACCCTACCCTCTTCCACTCTCTCTTCCTTACCCTCTTCTACCCTCTCTTCCTCGTCCATCCTTGCTTCCTTACCCCCCACACCCTCGATCGCACCCACTTCCTCTCCCTCTTCCTCTGTTGCTTCCACTCCCTCTCCCTCTCTCGCTTCCACTCCCTCTTCCTTGACCGCTCTCTCCTCCTCACCATCTGTCACTATCACTTCCTCTCCCTCATGATCTTCCGCTGACATACCCACTTCCATCACCTCCATTATTGTTGAATCTCCTTTCTTAACCGCTCTGTCCTCCTCACTCTCTGTCACTATCACTTCCTCTCCCTCATGATCTTCCGCTGTTGACACACCCTCGTCCTTCACCTCCAGTATTGTCGCATCCTCTCCCTCTCTCTTCCCTTCTCCCTCCATCTGCTGCTGCTGCTGCTGCTGCTGCTGCTGCTGCTGGAAGCGGTTGAGGAAGTCACTTCGCAGTCGCCCCACCACTGCTGGCTGGGCAGCAGGAGACGCGGCAGGCGCAGCCGCCACTGACGCTACACCACTCCCCGCACCTGGCCTCCAGGCTCGGATGGGCACAGGCTTCGGCGCAGGTTCGGAGTCGGACCAGTCAGAGTCCGAGCCTGAATCGGAGGAGTGGGTCTGCTGCTTTTTCATCCATGAATCTGAGGCACGTGGCTTGACGGTTATGGCTGTGGTGGGATGTTGAGCTGGAGAGATGGTGGTGGGAGGATGAGAGGATGAGAGTGCGGGTGGGGAAGGGACAGCCAAGGCATCATTTCCCTTTGTCTTCTCCATAGCCTCTTCCTCTCTCTCTCCCTTCACTTCCACTTCTCTTTCTTCCTTAACCCCTTCCTCTGCCTCTCCCGTCACTTCCTCCTCTCTTTCTTCCTTAACCTCTTCCTCTGTTTCTTCCTTACTCTCTTCCGCCCTCTTCTCGGTACCCTCGTCCTCCCTCTCTTCCGTACCTACTTCCTCCCTCTCCTCCTTACTCTCTTCCACCCTCTCTTCCTCTTCCACCCTCTCTTCCTCTTCCACTCTCTCTTCCTCTTCCATCCTCTCTTCCCTACTCGCTTCTTCTCGCTCCTTACCGCCATCTTCCACTCTCTCCTCCTCACCCTCTTCCACCCTCTCTTCCTTACCCTCCTCTTCCTTCTCTTCCTTCCTCTCTTCCTCAAACTCTTTCTCACTCACTTGCTTACCTTCTTCCGCAATCTCTACCTTACCCTCTTCCATCCTCTCTTCCTCGTCCATTCTTGCATCCTTATCCCCCACATTCTCAAGTTCAACCGCACCCACTTCCACTCCCTCCTCCTCTGTTGCTTCCTCTCCCTCTTCCTCTCTCGCTTCGTCTCCCTCTTCCTCTCTCACTTCCTCTCCCTCTTCCTCTCTCGCTTCCTCTCCCTCTTCCTCTCTCGCTTCCTCTCCCTCTTCCTCTGTCACCTCCACTCTCTCCTCATCTGTCGCTTCCTCTCGCTCGTTCTCTCCCCCTTCCACTCTTTCTTCCTCCGTTGCTTGCTCTCCCTCTTCCTTCACCACCCCGTCCTCCTCACCCTCTGCCATTGCCACTGCAGCTTCATCATCTCCTGTTGACACACCCCCTTCCTTCACTTCCATTATCGCCACACCCTCTTCCTCTCCCTCCTTCTCTCCCTCCACCTGCTGCTGCTGCTGATCCTGCTGTGGAGACCCAAGAGGAGGCACATAGGGCTGCTCCGATTGCTGCTGCTGCTGCTGGAAGCGGTTGAGGAAGTCACTCCGCAGTCGCCCCACCGCTGCAGTTTGGACAACAGGAGCGGGAGCAGGCACAGGGGCCGGTGCTTCTGCTGTTGTACTCGCCATGCCTGCCCGCCAGGCTCGGATGGGCACAGGCTTGGGCATAGGTTCGGAGTCGGACCAGTCTGATTCGGAATCAGAGCCAGAGTGGGAAGACGGCTGTGCAGGGCGGATCCACGAGTTGGCAGGGCGAGAGGAAACAGATGGAGGAGAGGGAACAGATGGAGCAGAGGGCGCAGGGAGAGGAGAGGGAGGAAAGGGAACAGCAAGGGCCGAGGAGTTGGTGGGAAGAGGGTGAACAGTGTCAATCGATGGAGCTTCTGCTGCCATTGCTGCTGCTTGCGTCTGCTCCACCAAGGCAGGTGTTGTCTCAACTGCTGCTGCTTGCTCGTCCTCCCTTGCTTCTGGTGCTTCAGCCACTGGTGCTGCTACTGATCCTTCCATTGCTTTTTCTCCTTCCAACGCTGCTGACCCTTGCACCACTGCTGATCCTTCCACTGCTGCTTCGCCTTCCACTGCTGCTTCGCCTTCCACCGCTGCTTCGCCTTCCACCGCTTCTACGCCTTCCACCGCTGCTGATCCTCCCATGTCTGCCCCTTCCGCTTCTGCTGCCACTGGCGCAGACTCTGACGCTTCAATGTTCTTCGAAGCAGCCTCTGATGTGCTCTCGCCACTCACACTTGCATCAACTGCCGGCACTGCCACATTATCCTCCCCCTCTGCGCTCTCTCCCGCTACACTCTCTCCCGCGACACTCTCTCCCTCCACACTCTCTCCCGCGACACTCTCTCCCTCCACACTCTCTCCCGCGACACTCTCTCCCTCCACACTCTCTCCCACGACACTCTCTCCCTCCACACTCTCTCCCTCCTCACCCTCTCCATTCATGCTCTCTCTCTCAAAGTCTCCATCTTCTCCCAATCCTTCCTCTGCCACTAACACATCTTCCTGCTTCTCCTTCGCCTCCTCTCCCACCTCCACTCTGCTCTCCTCCTCTTCCGCCTTCTCCTTTTTCCCATCTTCCGTCTCCTCTCCCCTCTCCTCTTCCTCCACCGTCTCTGCTTCTTCCCCTCCACTCTCCACCTCTCCTCTTGCCTCGTCTCCTCTCTCCTCTCCTTCCTCTTCCCGCTTACCTTCCTCCTCTTCCAACTCCTCTTCCTCCTCCGCCCTTTCACTTTCCTCCTCCCCCCACTCACTTTCCTCCGCCTCCTTTTCCCCTTCCTCCTCTTTCCACGCCATTTCCTCCTCTTGCCTCTCCTCCTCGCTCTCAAGCTGAGCCACCAACTGGGTGGCAGAGGCCAGAGAGGAGGCATGGCTCAAAGAAGCAGCTGGTTCAACCCTGGAAGGTGTGACAGGTGTTTCAAAAGCAGCAGCTGAATCAGGTGCGGCAGGTGAGTCAGGTGAATAAGATATAGCAATAGCAGGTGCCACTCCCCTCTCCTCCTCCTCCTCTTTGCTCTCAACTTGAGCCACCGACTGGGTATCAGAGGCAGGAGGGGAGGCAGAGCCGAAAGAAGCAGCTAGTTCAGCTCTGGCAGGGGAATCAGGTGCGGCAGGGGAATCAGGTGCGGCAGGTGAATCAGGTGCGGCAGGTGAATCAGGTGCGGCAGGGGAATCAGGTGCGGCAGGGGAATCAGGTGCGGCAGGGGAATCAAGTGTGGCAGGCGAATCAGGTGGAGCAGGTGTTTCAGATGCTGCAGGTGAATCAGGTGCGGCAGGTGTTTCAAACGCTGCAGATGAGTCAGGTGCAGCAGGGGAATCAGGTAAGGCAGGGGAATCAGGTGCGGCAGGTGAATCAGGTGCGGCAGGTGAATCAGGTGCAACAGATGAATCAGGAGCAACAGGTGAATTAGGTGCAACAGGTGAATCAGGTGCAACAGGTGAATCAGGTGCAACAGGTGAATCAGGTGCAACAGGTGATTCAGGTGCAGCAGGCGAATCAGGTGCGGCAGGTGAATCAGGTGCGGCAGGTGAATCAGGTGCGGCAGGTGAATCAGGTGCGGCAGGTGAATCAGGTGCGGCAGGGGAATCAAGTGTGGCAGGTGAATCAGGTGCGGCAGGTGAATCAGGTGCGGCAGGTGAATCAGGTGCGGCAGGTGAATCAGGTGCGGCAGGTGAATCAGGTGCAGCAGGTGAATCAGGTGCAGCAGGTGAATCAAGCAGAGCAGGCAAATCAGGCGCTGCAGCAGCAGTTTCAGGCACAGCAGGTGAGTCCACTTGGGTGGGAGTGGCAGAGACAGGAGAGGAGGTAGCACTGAGAGGAGCAGCTGCTTCATCCCCAGCTGGCAAATGAGGTGCCGCAGGAGAATGAGGTACAGTTACTGCAGAAGCTGCGTCCGAAAGTGACTCAGCATGCGAATCAGCATCAGAATGTGATTCAGCATCAGAACATGACTCAGCATCAGAACGTGACTCAACATCAGAACGTGACTCAGCATCAGAACGTGACTCAGCATCAGAACGTGACTCAGCATCAGAATGTGATTCAGCATCAGAACGTGACTCAGCATCAGAATGTGACTCAGCATCAGAACGTGACTCAGCATCAGAACGTGACTCAGCATCAGAATGTGATTCAGCATCAGAACGTGACTCAGCATCAGAACGTGACTCAGCATCAGAATGTGATTCAGCATCAGAACGTGACTCAGCATCAGAACGTGACTCAGCATCAGAATGTGATTCAGCATCAGAACGTGACTCAGCATCAGAGCGTGACTCAGCATCCGAATGTGACTCAGCATCATAAGAGCGTGACTCAGCATCATCAGAATGTGACTCGGCCTCCTCATGCTCCTCCTTAGCCTCCTTCACCTCTTTAGCTTCCTCACTCTCCTCACTCTCCCCAGCTTCTTCACTCTCCTTACCCTCCTCACTCTCCTCTCCCTCCTCCGCCCCCAACGGCTCCCTGCCCTCCACTGCTCCCAGCATCCCCTCACCCTCCTCGTCCGCTGCCGCCCCATCCACCCCTGCAAGCACCGCGACAGCCACAACTGCCGCCCCACCCATCGCTACAGCCTCTACTTCAACGTCCTGCAGCCTTGCTTTATCATCACTACCCCCATCTTCCTCCGCACTCTCTGCTTTCTCACTCCCCCTCTCTTCCTCCTCTTTCTCTACATCCTCACTCCTTGTCTCTTCCTCCTCCCTCTCTGCTTCCTCACTCCTTGTCTCTTCCTCCTCCCACTCTGCTTCCACACTCCTTGTCTCTTCTTCCTCCCTCTCAGCCTCCACACTCCTTGCCTCTTCCTCCTCCCTCTCAGCATCCTCACTCCTTGTCTCTTCCTCCACCCTCTCTTGTTCCGGTGCAGAGTCAACGTCAGAGTTTGATCCTGGTGGCGATGGCAGAGCTGAAGCTTCACAGTCAGACGCATGCAGAGCCACGTCAGCAGCCACATCAGCTTCTGGTGCAGAGTCAACCTCAGAGTCTGGTCCTGATGGGGATGGCAGTGCTGCAGTCTCACCTCCAGCCGCACACGGTGCCACATCAGACGACACGTCAGCAGCCACATCAGCGGCCACGTCAGCAGCCACATCAGTTCCGAAAGAAGAGTCAGACTCGGAGTCTGATCGTGATGGAGATGGCACCACTGCAGTTTCACCTCCAGGCACTCGCAGAGCCATGTCAGCAGCCACATCAGCCGCCACGCCAACAGACACATCAGCAGCCATGTCAACAGACACATCGGCAGCCATGTCAACAGACACATCAGCAGCCATGTCAACAGACACATCAGCAGCCATGTCAACAGGCACATCAGCAGCCATGTCAACAGACACATCAGCAGCCATGTCAACAGACACATCAGCAGCCACGTCAGAATCAGAGTCAGGTTCAGAATCTGGTCCCGAAAATACATCTGCTTTCTCCTGTTCTGCTTCCACCTCCTCGGCCTCTCCTCTCGTCTGCAGCACAGGTGCAACCAACTCACTTGCCAGCAGCAAACTAGCACCTCCAGCTGCATCCAGAGCCACCTCAGCTGCCACATCAGCATCCACCTCAGCTGCCACATCAGCAGCATCTTTGATGCTGGTGGCTGACCCCTCTGGAGAAGATGGTCTGGAATCGCCCTCCACGTCCACATCAGCAGGGGGTGCCACGTCAGCAGCTGATACCACATGTGCAGACTGTTCCTTATCAGCAATCGCATCATCACCACCAGCAGGTAATTCTGACTTGTCACCTGCTTTGACCTCAGCTGCGTGCTTCATGTCCACAGGTTGCACCACATCAGCAACTTGCGCCACATCAGCAGCCTGCGCCACGTCAGCAGAAGAGTCCACAACTGCAGCGGAATTCAAAGATGCCTGCTGTTGCTGCTGTGGAGGTGTGAGGGGAGCCTCAGAGGCCTGCTGCTGTTGCTGCTCCTCCGGCTGCTGCTGCTGGAAGCGGTTGAGGAAGTCACTCTGCAGTCGCCCCACCGCTGCAGTTTGTGGGGGAGGAGAGGCGGCAGGCGCAGGAGCCAGTGCTGCGCTCGCCATGCCTGCCCTCCAGGCTCGGATGGGCACAGGCTTGGGCGCAGGTTCGGAGTCGGACCAGTCAGAGTCCGAGCCTGAGTCGGAGTGGGAAGAAGGCTGTGCTGGGCGGATCCAAGAATTAGCAGGGCGGGAGGAAACAGAGGGAACAGAGGAAACGCTAGGGGCAGTGGAAGCACTAGGGGCAGAGGGGACGGCTGAAGCTGAGACAGACGGGACGGCTGAGCTGGGGGCATTGGGTGAGACGGTTGAGGTGGGGGAAAGAGTGAGGGGATGCAGAACAACAAGATGGGCGGTGGAGACGGGAGGCTCGTCTGGTGTTGCAGTGCTTGCCATCGTGGCCTCTGGCTCTGCCCTGCCTGCTGCTGCACCTTCTGTGATTTCCTTTGACTCAGAAGATGCATCTGCTGCAACGCCACTGCCACTGACCTCTGCTGCTGCACCTTCTGTGATTTCGTCCCGCTGAGGCATCTCCGTGGCTTTACTCGCCTCTTCTTGAGAATTCTCAAAAATACCCTGAGGCGTCTCCTCGGCTGCACTCGGCTCTTTCCTGCTCTCGCCCTCAGCCCCTGTCTTAACCTCAGCCCTCCTTGGACTCTTATTCTCACTCTCAGAACTTTTCTCACTTTCACTCTCGCTGTCAGCCCCCCTTTCACTCGCACTCTCACTCTCAGACCCCTTACCACTTTCATTCTCACTCTCAGCCCCTTTCTCACTCTCAGCCCCTTTCTCACTCTCAGCCCCTTTCTCACTCTCAGCCCCCAACCCACTTGCACTCTCAATCTCAGACCCCTTCTCACTTTCACTCTCACTCTCAGCCCCCCTCTCACTTGCACTCTCACTCTCAGACCCTTTCTCACTTTCACTCTCACTCTCAGCCCCCTTCTCACTTGCACTCTCACTCTCAGTCCCCCTCTCACTTCCACTCTCACTCATACTATCACTCTCACTGTCCCTTTCACCTTCACTCTCCCTCTCACTCATGCTCTTACTCCCCCTCTCACCTTCACTTTCACTCTCCCTCTCACTCATGTTCTTACTCTCCTTCTCACCTTCACTTTCACTCTCTCTCTCACTCATGCTACCACTCTCCCTATCACTCATGCTTTCACTCCCACTCTCACTCCCATCGTCCACTTCACTCCCTTCTGCATGTGCATCTCTGGTCTCGCCCTCCACCACTCCCTCCTTTTCTTTAACCACCACTCCCTCCTTTTCTCCCTCCACCACTCCCTCCTTTTCTTTAACCACCACTCCCTCCTTTTCTTTAACCACCACTCCCTCCTTTTCTCCCTCCACCACTCCCTCCTTTTCTCCCTCCACCACTCCCTCCTTTTCTCCCTCCACCACTCCCTCCTTTTCTTTAACCACCACTCCCTCCTTTTCTCCCTCCACCACTCCCTCCTTTTCTTTAACCACCACTCCCTCCTTTTCTCCAACCACCACTCCCTCCTTTTCTTTAACCACCACTCCCTCCTTTTCTTTAACCACCACTCCCTCCTTTTCTCCCTCCACCACTCCCTCCTTTTCTCCCTCCACCACTCCCTCCTTTTCTTTAACCACCACTCCCTCCTTTTCTCCCTCCACCACTCCCTCCTTTTCTTTAACCACCACTCCCTCCTTTTCTCCCTCCACCACTCCCTCCTTTTCTTTAACCACCACTCCCTCCTTTTCTCCAACCACCACTCCCTCCTTTTCTTTAACCACCACTCCCTCCTTTTCTTTAACCACCACTCCCTCCTTTTCTCCCTCCACCACTCCCTCATCCACTCCCGCATCAACTCTCACCATCCTGTCCTCTTCCTCCTCCACCCTCCCTCCTTCAGCTACACCCTCGGTCAGTTCCTCTCTGTGCAAATTCTCCACTTCCTCACGTCCCTGCTGCTCCCTCTCCCCATCCTCTTCCCTCTCCTCCTCCGATCTCACCTCCGCCTCCCTCTCCTCCCACTCGTCCTCCCTCTCCTCCTTCTCCTCCTCCTTCTCCTCCTCCCTCTCCCCCCACTCTTTCTTCTCCTCCTGCTCCTCTTTCTCCTCCTCCTGCCCCTCTTCCCTGCCCACATGCTCCTCACTCTCACCAACTGGCAGATTCACCTCCCCTTCCATGTTTCCTGCTGCTGCTGTGCTGCTTCCTTGCAGACCCTCTTTTCCCTCTCTCTCCTTATCCTCTCCCTCCTCCTCCCCCACTCTTCCAGCCTCCTCATTCTTTCCATCTTCGTCCTCCTCTCTCCCCATTCCAACCTCCTCCCCCACCGTCCCAATCTCCTCTCCCTCACTACCTTCACCCTCCCGATTCTCTCTGTCCTCCACCTTACCCTCACTCTCTCCATCCACCTCGCCAACCCCCTCACTCCCTCCCTCACTCTCTCCCTCTACACCTCCAGACCCCACATCATCCTCCTCCCACTCACCCACACCGGACCCCACATCACTCCACTCCTCGCTCTCCCAGTCACTTCCTGCCACCAGCCCATCCGCCTGTGCTGCTACCACCACACCTCCCACAGCCAACACTTGATTCGACTCAAACCTCGCCTGTGCTTCTGACACGCCTGCCACAGCCAGTACAGCGACTGTCGCCAGCTCATCAGCCTGTGCTACCACCACTCCTCCCACAGCCGGAGTAGAGACTGCAGGCAACGTCCTCTGGGCCATGAGCGTTACCGGAGGCTCCATTGATTCCATTTCCTCTGCATTGATTGCACTTGCTACCGAGCCTTGCTCTTGCATTCTGCCGTCTGCATTTTCCAAGGCCATTGCATCCTCTTCCTCTGCTACCGTGCCTTGCTCTTGAGTTCGGCCACCTGAATCGCCAAGGGCCATCGATTCCACTTCTTCTGCTCTTGCATCGCCAGCATCACTGGTTACCACATCACCAGCATCACTGGTTACCACATCACCAGCATCACTGGTTACCACATCGCCAGCATCACTGGTTACCACATCACCAGCATCACTGGTTACCACATCGCCAGCATCACTGGTTACCACATCACCAGCATCACTGGTTACCACATCGCCAGCATCACTGGTTACCACATCACCAGCATCACTGGTTACCACATCGCCAGCATCACTGGTTACCACATCACCAGCATCACTGGTTACCACATCACCAGCATCGCTGGTTACCACATCGCCAGCATTACTGGATACCGCATCACCAGCATCACTGATTACCACATCACCAGCTTCACTGGTTACCACATCACCAGCGTCACTGGTTACCACATCACCAGCTTCACTGGTTACCACATCCACAGCATCGCTGGTTACCACATCGCCAGCATTACTGGATACCGCATCACCAGCATCACTGATTACCACATCACCAGCTTCACTGGTTACCACATCACCAGCTTCACTGGTTACCACATCACCAGCTTCACTGGTTACCGCATCGCCAGCATCGCTGTTTACCGCATCACCTGCATCACTCCACTCTTCTGACTCCTCCCATTTCTCACTCTCTCCCTCACTCTCTTTTCCTTCCTTCCCATCGCTCCTCTCCCCATCACTCTCACTCCTCCCGCTTCCATCTCTCCCCTCCTCCATCTCTATCCCCCTCAAATCTTGCCACTCACTTTGATCCATTCTTCTCTCCGCAGTCTCAGGCGAATCAGGGCTGGCACCTGAACCAACAGAGACAGCACCTGAAGGAAGTGCAACAGTGACAGAACCTGACGGCAACATGACAGACACGGCACCTGAAGGTAGCACAACGGAAACAGCACCTGACGGCAACACGACAGAGACAGCACCTGAAGGAAGCACCTCAACAGAGGCAGGGCTTTTCCCAGGTACCATATCAGGTTCCACATCAGGTGCTGCATCAGGTGCAACATCAGGTTCCACATCAGCTGCTGTGTCAGGTGCTGTAACAGATGCCAAATCAGGTGCTGTATCAGGTGCCATGTCAGGTGCCATATCAGGTGCCGCAGCAGGTGCCGCAACAGGTGCCGCAGCAGGTGCCGAATTGGGTGCTCTATCAGGTGCTGTGTCAGGTGCCCTGTCAGGTGAGCTGCTAGCGGGAACCGACCGTAACTCCAAAACCGGCCTCTCAGATGGACTTGCAGCCTCCGGCCCAGCACGTGCCACGTCAGCAGGGATGGCAGCAGCAGCAACGGAGTGTGGCACAGCAGCAGAAGCGGTGAGAGCAGGAGTGTGTTGAGAAGCGGTGAGAGCAGGAGTGTGTTGAGAAGCGGTGAGAGCAGGAGTGTGTTGAGAAGCGGTGAGAGCAGGAGTGTGTTGAGAAGCGGTGAGAGCAGGAGTGTGTTGAGAAGCGGTGAGAGCAGGAGTGTGTTGAGAAGCGGTGAGAGCAGGAGTGTGTTGAGAAGCGGTGAGAGCAGGAGTGTGTTGAGAAGCGGTGAGAGCAGGAGTGTGTTGAGAAGCGGTGAGAGCAGGAGTGTGTTGAGAAGCGGTGAGAGCAGGAGTGTGTTGAGAAGCGGGAGAGGTACCAAAAGAGCCTCCGAGAATGAGGGGGCTCTTCTGGTACCTCGGAACCTCTTCCTCTTCTGCCCATGACCCAACGCCTCCAGTGGTTCGATCGTGAGGCAGCGCAGCAGGGCTGGCGAGCGGCAGTGCCAAAGACTCGCTGCCAGAGGCAAACGAGAATGGGCTGTGCGGCCGTTGAAACCCTTCACGCTCTCCCTTCCCTTCAAGCCCCTCACGCCCCTCATCCCTTACGTTCTCCTCAACCTCCTGCCCCTCCGTCTCTTCCTCCCCGGAATCCACCTCAGATCTTTTCTCCGCATCCTGCCCCTCCTGTCCCCCTTTCATCTCCTCCTCTCCTTGCTTCTCCTGCGCCTCCCGCCCCTCCTGCTCCTGCTGCTGCTGCTGCATCTCCTGCTGTTGCTGCAGTGCTAGACTGACAGCTGCACTATCCAGAGGCACACCTACGCCTGCACTCGTTGGAGTGGCGGAGGGCAACGGAGAGAGAGCGGCATAGGGGCTGGCAGAGGGGAGAGGGGAGGCGGCGGGGAAGGGGGACTGGGTGGCTGCTAGCTCCATGCTGCTCCACTCCTCCTCGCTCATGTCACTCCACTCGTCCTCCCCCTCCTCCTCTCCCTCTCCCCCTTCCTCCTCCTCCTCCTCGCTCTCTACCTCCTCCTCCTCCTCCCTCTCCTCATCTCTCTCTTGCTCCACCACGTCCTCCTCCTCGCTCTCAACCTCCTCCTCCTCTCTCTCCACCTCCTCGTCCTCCCTCTCTACCTCCTCGCTCTCAACCTCCTCCTCCTCCCTCTCTACCTCCGCCTCCCTCTCCACATCCTCCTCCTCCTTGTCCTTTGCTCCCTTTTCTTCCTCGTCTTCTCTCTCCTCTCTCAGCCCCTTCTCCTCCTCTCTCTCTTTGCTCCCCTCTCTCTCGCCCCCTCTCTCCTCTCTCTCATCCACTATCTCCTCCCTCTCATCCACTATCTCCTCTCTCTCCTCCACCATCACCTCTTTCTCCTCCCTTATCTCCTCTCTCCCCTCCTCACTCCGCCCGTCCAACTTGACAGCAACACTGGCAGCAACACTGGCAAAAGGACCGCCTGCTCTCACACCACTCGCCCCCAGCACCTCGCCCCCATCCCTCGTTCCACCCACATCCCACACCTCACTCTCCCTAGTCCACTCACTTGACCACCCCTGTACTCCCACCCCCCCATCACCCACATCTCTGCTCCAATCCAGCTCCTCACATGCTCCCACGCCATCACCCATGTCATAAACATACGCATCCTCGCCAATCTGCCTCATTGCCCCATCGTCGCCTGCTGCTGAAGTACCCATCCCATCATTGCCCACCCCCGCCACATTCGCAGCCATCGCTCTGCCTGCTGCTGCTGCTGCTGCTGCTGCTACCTTCCCTTCATCCTGTTGCTGCTGCTGCTCACCTGTTTGCTCAACTACCTGAGCATTCACCTGATCATCCACCTGACCCTCTTCTTCCCGCACCTGCACCACCTGCTGCTCCTCTGCCAGCTCCTCCGACCAATCAGGATCCGCCACGTGTTCAGAGGCCATCGTCACCTGCTGCAGAGGGGATACGATGCTGGTAACCCAGCTTGTCCCATCCTCCTCCCCATCACTCTCCACAACACTCCTTGCACCATCGCCACTCACGGTCTCGGGTGCTGGTGCTATTCCTTCTTCTTCCTTCTCCTCTGCCTCTGCCTCTCCCTCTGCCTCAGGCCATGCGTCACTCTCACTGCTCCACACATCCACACCATCTTCCTCACGCTCCTGCTCTCCAGCCTCTCGTTTCTCACTCTCCTGCCCTTCCATCCCTCGCTCCTCACTCCCGTTTTCTTGAGCCTCTTGGTCCTCGCTCCCTTGCTCCACGTCACTTAACCCCTCCACACCACTCCAGCTCTCCATTGCACCACTTTCCACTACTCCACTCTCCATTACCCCACTCTCCACTACTCCACTCTCCTCCACTACCCAACTCTCCTCCACTACCCCACTCTCCTCCATTTCCCCACTCATCCTCTCTTCCTCCCTATCACTCGCACCACTCCCCGAACCACCGTCATAGCTGTCCCCATCCGACCTAGGGCTGCTGACACTGCTCCTCCTGCTTTCCTTGCTAACACTGCTCTCCCTGCTCTTCCCCTTGCTTTTCTTGCTGACACTGCTCCCCTTGCTTACACTGCTCCCCCTGCTTACACTACTGCCCCTGCTGTGCTTGCTCTCGCTGCCACTCAAACTGCCTGTTGTGCTACCAACTCTGCCCACAGCGGCTGAATTATCCCCACTCGCTCCACTGAGCGAGTCCTGAGTCATCTCAGAACGCTCACTAGCAGATGTCTCCTCGCTCTTTGCAGCACTGAACGCATCACTTTTGCTGCTACTGCTGCGAGCATGGCTGCTTGCACTCCTGCTGTGTGTGCTGCTGTGCTGACTGTGCGAGCTGCTGCGCTGACTGTGCGAGCTGCTGCGCTGACTGTGCGAGCTGCTGCGCTGACTGTGCGAGCTGCTGCGCTGACTGTGCGAGCTGCTGCGCTGACTGTCAATGCTGCTCTGTTGGCTGTGCACGCTACTGCTTACACTCACTGCACTGCTATGTTTGGAACTCGTGCTGCTGTATTTGCTATGGCTTCTGCTGCTTCTGGGACTCTCACTCCCTCCCTCACTCATCCCCTCACTCACTCCCTCACTCGCTGCCTCACTCACACCCTCACTCGCTACACTCTCAGTGTCATCCTTCGCACTACTGCCTTCGCTGTGACTTCCACTCACACTATCTTTTCCACTCCCCTCGTTTTCACTAAGGGTCACACTTTCCCCATCACTCTCGCTCTTACTACGCATTTCACTCTCACGATCACTAACATGCTCACTCTCATTATCACTCACACTCCTCCCCACACTCTCATGCACACTCTCATGCTCACTCAAAGTCTCCACCACTCTCTCACGCTCACTGCCACTCCTCTCTCTCACGCCACTGCTATCAGAGCTGCTCCTCATGCTGTTGGCTTGCTCGCTCGCTCGTTCGATCCCACTCTGACTCCTACCACCTGCAGCACTGTCAGCAGCGCTGCTTTTGACACTGCCAGTAACACTGCTTGTAGCACTTTCGGTAGCAGTGCCGGTGGCACTGTGCTTGCTCCTCTTCTCACTCCAACTGCCACTATCACTCTTGCTCAAGCTCCCTCTCTCACCCTCACTCCCTTCCTCACTCGCTTTCTCACTCCCGCCAACACTTGCTGTCTCTACCTCTCTCTCAACCAGATGGTCACCTTCTTGCTCACTCACACTGCTCCTCCCCGACCGCTTGCTGCCATCCCTACTCACACTCCCCCTCCTAACCCTCCTCTCACTCCCTTCCAAGCTCAGTCCCTCACTCACACTCTCAGCCACGCTCTCCCTCGCCACACTCTCATCTCTGCTCCTACTGCTTGGACCGCTGCTGTGACTCCTCCTCCTCGCACTCCTGCTCCTACTGCTATGTCTACTGCTGTGTCTGCTGCTATGTCTGCTGCTGTGTCTGCTGCTGTGTCTGCTGCTGTGTCTGCTGCTGTGTCTGCCGCTGTGTCTGCCGCTGTGTCTGCTGCTGTGTCTGCTGCTGTGTCTGCTGCTGTGTCTGCTGCTGTGTCTGCTTCTGCTTCTGCTTCTGCTGTGGCTCAAATGTCTCCTGTCTCTGCGTTTGCCACTGCTGATGCTGCTCCCAAGGCTTTCTCCCTGTGACCCCTCCTCACTCGCCTCACTCCTCTCCCTCCTCACCCTGACTCTCTCACTCCCACTCGCCTCTGTCCCACTCTCACTCCCCTCGCTCCCACTTCCACTCCCACTGCTCCCACTTTCGTTCCTACTCCCACTATCGCTCCCGCTCCTGCTTCTGCTTCTGCTTCTGCTCCTGCTTCTGCTCAGGTCGACACTAAAGCTCAGATCAATACTGCTCACCCCGCTGCCACTACGCCTACTGCTGACTCCCCCTTGCGGGCTTGGCTGTGCCAATTCCCTCTCTGCCACCTCTATCCACCGCTCAATCTCCTTCCTCTTCTCCCCATCCTCCTCATCCTCCTCCTCATACCCTTCCTCCTCCTGCTCCTCATCCTCCTCTTCCTCCTCTTCCTCCTTTTCCTCCCCCTCTTCCTCCTCCTCATGCTCGTCTTCATGCTTCCTTGCCTCCTCCCTCAGCCCCTCACTCCCCTCCTCACTGATTTCCTCTTCCACCCTTCGTCCCTCTCCCACCTCCTCTTCATCCTCCTCCTCCTCGTCCTTCGCAGCATGTGTCGCCTTCTTAAACACGACCACCACTCTCTCTCCATCCTCCAGACTCCCCTCCTCGCTAATACCAGCAACCTCCTCCTCTACTTCCTCCTCCTCCACCTCTTCCTCCTCTGTTCCATCCTCCTCCTCCTCCACAGCATGTGTCGCCTTCTTAAACACTACTACCACCCTCTCCCCATCCTCCAAACTCCCATCTTCGCTAATACCAGCAATCTCGTGCTCTGCTTCGTCCTCCTCCTCCACCTCCTTCTCTATCTCCTCCACCTCTACCTCCTCCTCCTCTTCCTCGTCCTTCTCAGCATGTGTCGCCTTCTTGAACACAACAACCACCCTCTCCCCATCCTCCAAACTCCCCTCCTCACTACGACCAGCAATTTCCTCTTCCTCTTCTCCGGCCTCCCAACCCTCCTCCTCGCCCACATAGCTGCCTGTCTGGCTGGCCATTTGACTTCCTGTCTGAATCGCATCCCCAACCACACTACCTAACAACATATCATCTTCATCCTCCCCCTCATCCTCCTCCCCTCCTCCATCCCCCTCCTCCCTCTTCTCGCCAGTCCTTGGCCGGTTAAACACCACAACCACCCTCTCGTTTTCCTCATACTCATTATCAACATCCTCGGTATCCGTATCAAGAGGGTTCTCAGTCAGTGACCCATGCTCAGTCGTAGACTCTCCCACCATCTCCTCTTCCTCTTCATCCGCTTTCCCCTTGGTTGCTGTCTTAAACACCACAACCACCCTCTCATCCTCCTCCTCTTCCTCCTCCTCCTCCTCCTCCTCTTCTTCTACCCCTTCCTCCTCCGTCTCTTGATCCTCATGCACACTACTACCATGCATGTCCCCCAAATCATCATTCTCCTCACTATCGTGTACCCCATCAGATAAGACATCAGATGCTGCACCATCATCCTCACCACCAATACTTTCAAATTCTGCTATTGCCTTTCCACTCACCGCCCTCTCCCCCTCATCCTCCACTCCCCCCACTGTCTCCCTCTCCTGCTCCAAATCTCTTGACTCCTCCCACTCTCCACTTTCCTCCTGTGTGCTAATCCCACGTGTCACAATACCAGCACCTGCCACATCATCTTCAGCATTGTACAGCACGTGCTCACTCAAATCACTCGCCACATCAGCATCGCTTGCCACACCAGCAGAAAGATCCGCACTGCCCCTATCCCTCTCCTCCACGTGGATCTCAGCAGCTCTGGTTGCCGTTTTGAACACCACAACCACCCTCCCATCCTCCTCCTCATCCTCCTCCTCCTCCTCCTCCTCATGCCCGTCCTCCCTACCCTCAACCCCCAAACCACCCTCCTCCTCCTCTTCCTCATCCTCCGCTTCCCCAACCTTGCCACTCACACTCTCACCCAAACCATCATACAATAGCATCACTGAGTCTTGTGATGCACCACCCACCCGACCATCTTCCCCCTTACACGTATCCACCTTGCCGTTCACACGCATGCCCTCCTCATCTATCCCCTCATCCCTGTCCTCATGTTTATCCTCACGTCTCTCTGCATGTCTGTCGGCATGTCTATACCCGAACGCGCCCGCCCCTCTCAACTCCCAGTAATTCCCCATCACCTCTCTCCACACATCCATCCTCGCTTCCCTCTCCTCCTCACCCTCCTCTCCTCCCCTTCCTGCCTCCCGCTCCTCCCTCACCGACCTAAAACTCCCCACACTCCCCCTCAACATCCTCCCTGCGCTCCCAACACTCCCAAAGCTCCCAGTCCTGGCCAGCCCAACGCTTCCAATGCTGCCAGTCCTCCCTACCCCAACACTCCCCAAGCTCCCCACACTGTTATGAGCGGTCCAGAACGGTGACAGCTCCCCATCTAGAGCGTCCATCAGATCTCCCAACTCTGCCTCCACAGACCGAGTACTCTCCCCCTCACTCACTCCCTCACTCACTCCCTCACTCGCTCCCTCCCCCTCGCTCATCCCCAGGCTGGTCACGTCACTAAGAGACCCGCCCCTCCCTCGGGATCTGCTTCGGATGGACGAGACTTCTGAGCCTGACCCCAGGGAAAAACCTCTCCTTCTCCTCCCCGCTGCACCAGCAGCAGCAACACCACCACCACGAGTGACACCACCACCACGAGTGACACCACTAACAGTACCAGCGCCAGCAGAAGCAGCGCCACCGAAACTGGTTGCAGTGGTGGGGGCCCAGAGGACACTCTCCATCCCATTCGAATGCCGGCTGCTAATGCTGCCCGTGCTCTGCTGCATGCTCTGCTGCCTGCTTTGCTGCCTGCCCCACTGTCCACTCTGCTGCTCGCTCTGCTCCCTGCTCCACTGCCCACTATGTCGAGAGCTCGTCTGAGAGGCACGGGTCTTAACACGAAGCCATGGCATTGCCTCTCCTTCCTCCTCCCCCTCCGTGTCCGACTGGTGCAACGAATGCCTCTGGTAATTGTACGCGTGGTGATTGTCGTGGTTATGGGGGTGGGCGTGGGCGTGGGCGTGGGAGTGAGATCGGGAATGGGAGTGGGAGTGGGAGTGGGAGTGAGCGTGGGATTGAGAGAGGTTTCGCGCGTCCCCATCAAAGCTCATTCCCAGAGCATCACGAGCCACAGCCGCTGCCACTGAGTGATGAGTCCAAGACTGTGACTGTAACTGTGACTGTGACTGTAACTGTGACTGTGACTGTGACTGTAACTGTGACTGTGACTGTGACTGTGGTTGCAGCGGCTTCTGACTTGACTCTAGATTCCCCATAGCCGCCCGTGCCAGTGACTGACTGAGAGCATGCGCAAACCTCGCATCAGCTGCCCCTGAACGCCCATCACCCACACTCATTCTCCCATCACCCATACCACCAGACCTCCCATCAGCCATGCCCGGCATGCCCCCACCACCACCACCACCACCACCACCACCACCACCATCCATGCTGCTTGCTAGACTATCCGCCACACTGCTCCCATCGCCCTCCCCCTCGTTTTTCAGAATTCTCAGAAGCGACACCAGGCTATCCCCCACACTCACACTGCTCCCATCCCCCACACTGCTCCTGTCCCCCACACTGCTCCTATCGCCGTCCCTCTCACTCCCACTCGCCACCACCAGCCTCTGACTCCCCCCCACAACCCCCTCTCCCCCTTCCTGCCACGGCCCACAGGCTATCCCTGCTCCTGATTGTTCACTGCCTCCCAGCGCATACTCAATCCCTGCTTCCCCCACATTATCCCCCTCCCCATACCCCATTCCCACTGCTCCCCCACCCCCCCTCCCCATACCCCATCCCTGTCCCCGCACCCTGCTCCCCATACCCCATCGCCACTGCGCCCACACCCCCTTCCGCATACCCCATCCCTGTCCCCGCACCCTGCTCCCCATACCCCACCTCTGCTCCTCCCACACCCCCTTCCCCATACCCTTGCATGACCGCACGCCACACCTCCAAACCGCTCTCCGTCCCTGCTTGATCAGCAGCAGCAACGTGAGGGTCAGTGACAGCCCACCCCCTAGGGCCGTGGCTCTGGCTGCGACCGTGACTTACAGCCTGCCTGTAATACGAGTGGGAGGGGCTTGCAGCGTGCCTGTGGGACTGGGAGCGCCCCACAGCTTGGGCGTAAAACGCAGCCCCGTCAGTAGGGGGGGCGAAGAAGGCCGCATGCTCAGTTGGCGGGCCGTAAAACGCAGTTGCCCCTTCAACGGGGGTGTAAAACGCAGCCCCCTCAGTCGCTCCCCGCGAGTGGCCCCTGCTGACAGCAGCTCTCCCGTGCTGCTGCTGCTGCTGCTGCCTGCTGCTCTCCCCAGCCATGCCGGGCATGGGTGTCGCTGTGGCGCGCACACCGGGCATGGGTGTAGCTGTGGCACGCACATCAGGCATGTCGTGCACGCCAGGCATGGGCGTTGCTGTGGCGCGAACGCCGGGCATGGGAGTAGCTGCAGCACGAACACCTGGCATGGGCGTCACTGTCCGGGAGAGCGCGGCAGAAGCTAGAACACGAGGAGGCGCAGCAGCAGCAGCAGGTGGATATGGGGAGGAGTGATGGACACCAGGCATCGGCGTGACTGCCCTGGAGGAGAATGCTGAACTAGCAGCACCAGCAGCACTAGCAGCAGGATGAGGAGGATGGGGAACAGGTGGAGGAGGGAAGCTTGCAGCAGGTGAAATCCCAGGCATTGGCGTCACTGCTCTGGAGAATGAAGCAGTAGCAGTAGGGGCATTAGGGGCACTAGCAGCACTAGAAGCAGGTGCAAGCCCAGGCATGGGCGTTACTGCTCTGGAGAAAGCAGGAGGAGGAGGAGGGGCAGGAGGAGGGGGGAGGCCAGGCATGGGCGTGAGAGTGCGGGAGAAGGAAGGAGCAGCAGCAGAGGCAGAGGGAGAAGCAGTGGAGGTGCCTGGAATGGCAGAGTGGACGCCAGGCATGGGTGTAGTGGCACGAGAGAACGTTGCAGGGGCAGCAGCAACAGCAGCAGCAGCAGGAGGAGCAAGAGGGGCGTGGACACCGGGCATGGGTGTTACTGCCCTGGAAGGATGAGGTGCAGGGGCAAGAGCGGCATGCACACCAGGCATGGGGGTAGTAGAACGAGAGAACGCTGCAGGGGCAGCAGAAGGAGGAGGGAAGGTAGGGGGTAAAGCTGCAGCAGCATGCACTCCTGGCATGGGGGTTGTGGCACGGGATGCCAAAGTGGGAGCAGCAGCGGAAGCAGCAGGCAGAGAAGCACGTGCAGCAGCAGCACTGGGAACGGGCGGAGGAGGAGGAGGAGGTAAGCCAGAAGGACGGACTCCTGGCATGGGTGTTCCTGTTCGCGAGTACGTGAAAGTTGCAGCAGAAGGAGCCGCAGTGGCAGCGGCAGCAGGGCCCGAAGCAGCAGCACGGATGCCAGGCATTGGAGTCCCTGTACGGGAGCGAACAGGAACAGCTGCGGCAGAAGCAACACCAGCATCGGCCCCCTTCAGGGCCTCTAGCCCCTCTACTCCCTCTACTCCCTCTAGTTCCTCCAGTCCCTCCAGACCCTCCAGTTCCTCCCGTCCCTCTAGTCCCACCAGCCCATCTCCGCCTGTGGCAGCCACAGCATGCCAGAAGGGCAGCGAGTGCCCATCCACTGCATGCATCAGCTCTGCTAGCTCGCCCTCCACGGAGCTCCCCTGCCCACTCCCTCCCCCATCGCTCCCCCCCTCGCTCCCTCTATCGCTTCCCCTCTCACTCCCTCCCTCACTCTCCCCCTCACTCCCTCCCTCGCTCCCTCCCTCACTCCCTACCCCCTCGTATCGCAACGCACCCCTGTCACGGCCCTCTCTACTCTCGCTCCTCCCACCCACGCGGACCCCGATCCACGAATCCTCCTCTTCCGTCCCGCCCTCGACTCCACCCCCCACTTCCCCTGCCCCTGCCCCTGCCCCTGCCCCTGCCCCTGCCTCTGCCCCTGTTGCTGCACCTTCCTCTTCCCCTTCCTCCCCACCTCCTCCCCCTGCCATACCAGGCATGGCATCCCCTAGACTGCCACTGGAACCCCTCAGGTCATCGTCCCTCAGGTCATCGTCCCTCAGGTCATCACCCCTCAGATCGTCCCCTCTCACATAAATATCACTTTCCTCCTCCTCATCGCTCCCCTCCTCCTCCTTACTGCTCCCCTCCTCCTCGTATTCATCCTCTACCGTTCTTTCCCCTCCATCCTTCAACTTCTGGACCTGCATTGTCCCGATTGCCGTCCCCTCACCCAGCCAGCTGTCCTGCTCAACCTCGCCACTCATGCCACTGTCGCTCTCCCCCCTCTCACTCTCCTCCCTCTCACTCTCCTCCCTCTCACTCTCCTCCCTCTCGGTCACACCCGTCTCACTCCCCCCTTCTGCATCACTTGTTGCTGCCACTACCATTGCACGCTCTCCCTTCAAACCCAATCCTACACCCTCAATCTCCGCCCCCACACCCTCAATCTCCGCCCCCACACCCTCAATCTCCGCCCCCACACCCTCAATCTCCGCCCCTACACCTTCGATCTCCGTCCCTGCTACGTCTGCTGCTTTCCCTGTCGTCGTCTCCACCTCCCTTATGTTCGCCCCTTCTTCCTCTCTGCTCCTTCCTACCCTCTCCATCTCCCCATCCCTTTCAAACGTGCCTTGGTCCTTTACAATCATTCCACTCTCCTCCTCTTCCCCCTCTTCTTCCTCCTCTCTTTGACTCACTTCTGTCTCCTCCTCCTCCTCTTCTCCTCCTTGCTTCTTTTCCACCTCCCGTTGAATCAACTCCTCCCTACTCTCTCCCCCCACCATTCGCCCTATTCTCAACTCCTCCCTACTCTCTCCCGCATCCTGCCGCATAGCCACACTCTCTCCGTCTTCCACTCTCTCTCCCTCCTCCTCGATACTAGGACGGCCATCTACCTGCTTCCCTGCAGGACTCGCTTTTTGAGACGTCTCCAAAGTCATTACAGCTTCAGCTCCCCCAGCTTTCTTCGTCTCCTCCTCCTCCACCTCCTCCTCCTCTTCTTTTTCCTCCTCTTCCACCTCTTCCTCCTCTCCACCCCCCAGCGACTTTACAGTGTACCAGCGGAGCAAGCTCGACACCACATGACCTTCCGATGACCTGCATCCGAAAAGAAAAAAGGTTTTTTTATTTTTTATTTTTATTTTTTTATTTGTATGAATTACCGACCAATTAGTACCCAAGACTGAATTGAAACTTCTGGGCTGACTGTAAAAGGAAGACGAAAAAAACGAAACTGAGACACAGAAGAGAAGAAAAACAACTGAGACGAAGTAAATACATAAACTTGGATCTTTTTTTTTCTGAAAAGGGGTAGACAGGCAACTCACTCCAGGAGACCATTGGTGAGAGCGGCTTCTTCCAGCATCTTCATGCGCTGATGGGTGTGAAGGAGGAGGGAGAGGCAGGGGAGGGTGGGGAAAGGGCGGGGAGAGTAGGAGGGATTTCAGCAAGAAGGAGATTATTGGTGAGAGCGGCTTCTTCCAGCATCTTCATGCGCTGATGGGTGGCTCATGGGGAAAGGATGCGGGGGAAAAGGGAGATCGATTGTTCAGCAAGAATAGTGGTCGCTGGTCAGAAAGATTCTAAAAGAAAGAAAAGAAGCTGCTTCTGCCAGCACTGCTACCACCCACCATTGTTGCCAGCAGCACTAGCAGAACAAAATCGACACCAGCACTGCCAGTCTGCCTGCGCCACTCACCACAGCTTCCTCGTTGGCTTCAGAAGCAGAGAGCGCAGGTCGAGAGGCAAACAGTGTAAAGAAGCTGCTCCTGCCACCACCCGCACCAGCACCGCCTCCCTTCCCTCCCTGCGTGAGAGTGGCAGCAGCCCAGCCGAACCACCCCGTGCGACGCTTAGTTAAGTCCCTGCCTGGTTGCCATGCTATGGGGGTGCTGGCAGGTTGAGAGGAGAGGCAGAAGGCATGGGAGTGGGGCAAGCAAAGATAGGAGATGCCGAGGTTGAGGGAATGTCCGAGGAAAGGCTTGGGATAATGATGAAAACGGGCAACAGATATGGTGGGTGGAGTGAAGGCCAAATTACATGGCTGGGATCTCCATTCAATGCTTTCTTATATTGCAGCATATACCAGTGATAAGACATGATGATTAAGTCATCATTCATTCATATCACACGTACCAGTGAATGGACATGATGATTGGGTCAGCCTTGGGGTTTCTCGCCACAGCAAAGACGCGGCTCAGCTGCACGCGAAAAGGGGTTTAGGGTTCAGGGGTTGGGGATTCGGGATTGAGGAGGATCGAGGGTTTGGAGTTTAGCGTAGGGGGGTCATACCAAGCCAAATCAGACTCGAATTTTCGGAAGCAGGAAAAGCACTGGCATGAAATCCAACCGAATGAGGAAGAACAATGGCAAAATCTGAAACTGCAGTAGACGTGCATGAAGGTAGGTAGGCAGGTAGGTAGGGCATACGTATTCATTGGTGAAGAACGGATTGGCGTCAAAGAGAAAGTCCACGCGGAAATCCTGGAGACAGGTGAAAAGGACAGTCACAGTAATACAACCCAAGCAATAGTTGCATCTGAAAATGCAAGGGTGCGGCGGCAAGGTTTGGTTGAAAAAAAAAAAAAAGCGCGACGTCACACAACGTTCTGTCATGCCTCACAAACACAGCCATAAATCATGGTGCCCAAAACCCGAAACCCGGAACCTCGAAGCCTAAACATCACACACCATGCTGTGTTGCGACTTGTAGAAGTCCACGGAGCACAGGAACTGCAGCGCACCCATGTCCTCCTCCGTCATCTGCAAAGCGGCAGACAAGAAAGAATCAGGCAGGTTGGGAAGTGCAGGGAAGGTGAAAGATCAGGCAGCTGTGATGCAGGGGCCCACGGAGCATAGGAACTGCAGGCCACTGCAGCAGTGCATGGCACCAGTTCCGACAGCACTGCATGGCTCTGCAGCACCTTCAGCCATGTTCTGCGCTGCACCGACTAGCGTGACACTTGTTACATCACTCTGGGACACCCTTACAAGTCTTAAAACCATACCATACCACCCAGCACCACACACTCACCAGTTCTGACAGCACTGCATGGCTCTGCAGCACCTTCAGCCATGTTCTGCGCTGCACCGACTAGCGTGACACTTGTTACATCACTCTGGGACACCCTTACAAGTCTTAAAACCATACCATACCACCCAGCACCACACACTCACCAGTTCTGACAGCACCGCATGGCTCTGCAGCACCTCCAGCCACGTCCTGTGCCGCACCGGAGTCACCGGCCTCGCGTCGGGTGTCCTTGCCATCAGTGCTGCCAGCGACACGTCAGCAGCCTTTGCTGCAGCAGCAGCCTTGGTCACGTCAGCAGACTGTGCCACGTCAGCAGGTTTCACCACGTCAGCAGGCTTTGCCGCATCCGCAGGCTTGGCAGCTGCTGCAGTAGCAGGCACTGCTGCTGCTACTGCCACTGGCTCTGCTGGTGCTGCCACTGTTACCGGCTCAGCTGCTGATGCTACTGCTGCTGAAACTGGTGCTACTGGCACTGCTGCTGCCGCTACCAGTGCAGGTGCTGCTGGTGTGCCATCTCCAGCTGCCACTGACACAGGCACTTCCTCTTCTTCCACTTCCTCTTCAGATTCTGCCGATACTTCACTGAGGTTTTCATCAAGACTCAGAGGTGCTGCTGCTGTCACTTTTTCAGCTGCCATTGACAAAGGCAATTCCTCTTCTTCCAGTTCCTCTTCGGACCCCGATTCACTTCCACTACCACTGAGGTTCTCGTCGTTGCTCTCATCCTTCACACTCACCATTCCCTCACTCGCAGCCTCCTCTCTCTCACTTCCACTCCCGACGATACTCCCTCTTTCACCACCCAGCCCCTCCCCGTCGCTGATATGTTCGCTCCACACACTCCCCTCACTCTCATTTTCTTCCACTTCCTCACTCTCCTCGCTCCCATGTTCTTCCACTCCCTCACTTCCCACGCTCCTGTCCGGCTCGCTTCCTTCCCTACTGCTTGCTCCCTCTGCCTCCTCTTCTCCCCCTTCAAGAATCACATCTTCTTCTCCCAGTATACTCCCTCCTCCCACCACACTCTCCCCTCCAAACACACTCCCTCCACCCGCCACACTCTCCCCCCCAGCCACACTCTCCACCTCTATCAGCAGACTGTCCACCCTCACTCCCTCACTCCTCCCCACCACACTCCCCCTCCCCACCCACACTCGCCACACTCGCCACACTCGCCACCTCTATTAGCACCCCTTCCTCTGTCACCACACTCTCTCCATCCACCTCCAACCCCACCCTTTCACTCCTCCCATCTGCTTCTGTCTCTGTTTCTGCCTCGGTTTCTGTCTCAGCATATCTTGAACTCCCCGCGCCTCCCTCCCGTGCCACACTCATCGTTCCTACTGTACTTTGTTCCTCACTCTCACTCACTCCACTCTCACTCTCTCCACTCTCACTCTCTCCACTCGCACTCTCCCCACTCTCACTGTCCCCACTCTCACTCTCCCCACTCTCACTCTCCCCACTCTCACTCTCCCCTTCGCTCGACCCATCCTCTTTCTCTGACTCCTCTCCCTCACTCCCTGAGTAGCTGGTTCGGGTCACAGCATCTGTCTCCGTCACACTACCCTCACTCTCCTCCCCGCTCTCCTCCCCACTCTCCTCCTCACTCTCCCCACTCCCTCCCTCACTCTCTCCCTCACTGCTCCCTGTCTCCTCACTGCTTCCCTCACTTCCTTCCGCGCTCAGACCACTTCCATCAACACTTTCCCCCTCACTCTCAACATCACTCTCAGCCTCACTCCCATAATCACTCCCCCCCACACTGCTCCTGCTCTCTTCTCCACTACCACTCACACTCTCCGCCTCACTCGCCCTTGCATCCCCTTCACTACCCTCTCTCTCTCCTCAAGTGCACTCCCCTTGTAACCACTATCCGCCAAAACACTCTCCTCCCTCCCCACTACCCCACACTCACCACCCCTCCCAGGCAGCTGTTCCGGACCTTCTTCCTGACCACCTTCCAAGCCTCCCTCCAAACCTTCTTCCGAGCCTCCATCTGAGCCTTGTTCGGAGCCTCCTTGTAGCCTCTTTCTTTGTCTCATGCTTGCAAGCACCCACGCCTCTGTCGCTACCACTCCTTCCCCTCTCTCCACACCTCTCTCCACCGCTCTGTCCACCCCTCCTCTTTCTGCTCCTCCAACTGCTGCTGACACACCTTTCTCAGGTGACTCATTATTCGCCCTGGTTGACTCAGTTGACTCTCTTGACTCAGGCCGGCTGGAATTTTGAGAGCTGCCTGCATCACCAGGTACTAAGGCCGGAGGAACCAACACTTCACCACCGTACTTGCCTTTCCCACTCACATCACCATCAGCAACCAGCACCAGCATCAGCGTCAGCACCAGTGCCAGCATGGGTGGGGGCGTCAGCATGAGCATAGCCATCATGTCTGGATCCAGTCGACATGGTATCAGAGTCGGCCAACAATCCATGCACCAGAGCGCCTACGGGGAAAACCCCATCCCGGGCCCCTTCAGTCCTTTCGTCCCCTTCAGTCACTTGAAGCCCTTGAGTCCTTTCAGGCACCTGTGCTACAGACAGCTGCTGCTGCGCTCGTGGGTCCAGTGGGTGGAGGACTGGGGGACGGGAGAAGCAGCAGAGTGGGGGGCGATGCGAGGCTGTAGCATGGGCGGTAGGAGCGGCTGTAGCATGGGCGGTAGGAGAAGGCTGTGGTGTGAGGAGGCACGGAAACTGGATTTGCACGTGGGTCCATTGGGTGGAGAATAGAGGGGATGGGTTCAGGGGGGTGAGACAAGGGAAGGGGAGAGAACTCTGGGGTGGATGGAGAAGGGGAATACTGGGGAGGAGGGGGGGGTAGTGAGGAGGGGAGGAGAAGACTGGTGATAAGGTGTGGGGAGAGAAGGTGAAGGAGCAACAGGGGGAGCGGTCTTCCTTCCAACAGCAGCAGCGGCTGCTACTGCAGGGCTGGTGCAGGTTCTACTGGTGCAGGTGCTACTGGTGGAGGTGCTACTGGTGGAGGTGCTACTGGTGGAGCGTGCTACTGGTGGAGGTGCTACTGGTGGAGGTGCTACTGGTTGGTGGTGCTACTGGTGCAGGTGCTACTGGTGCAGGTGCTACTGGTGCAAGGTGCTACTGGGTGCAGACGCTACCATAGGTGGGACAACTGACAGCGGTACAGCTGCTGCAGGCCCTGCTGCTTCTGAAGGAACGGACCGGCTCTGTAACAGCTGCAGCACTGGCAGAAGCACCAGCAGCACCATCAGCGCATCAGCGGGAGCGGCAGTTGGCAGCAGTAGCAGGCGAGGTGCCCCAGAGGGGGCGGAAGAGGGATGTCAAGCAGAGACGCCACGGGAGGGAGAGGAGCTGGTACTGGGCTTGGGAGACACTGCTGGGGACACAGCTGGAGATGCAGCCAGAGTTGCAGCCGAGATGGCAGCAGGGGGTGCAGCTGGTGCTGCTGCTGCTGCTGCTGCTGCTGCCGGTGCCGTTGCTGGTGCAGCTGCCGGTGCTATTGCAGTTCCCACTGCAGACCTGCTTCTCCTTCCTCCCTCTGGCACGCTTTGGCTGACTGCACGTCCAGCTGGACGCTCCTGATTGGTCGGCAGCTCTGTCGTGTGGTACTCGCTTGCTCGCAGTGGTTGGGGTTTCTTGCTGGGACCTGCAGACAAGGGAACAGCAGCAGAGGCAGCAGGAGAGGCAACAAAGGAGGCAGCAGCAGGAGCAGCAACGGGGGAGCAGCAGGAGCAGCAACAGGCGGAGCAGCAGGAGCAGCAAGGCCAGGCGAAGCACGTGCAGCAGCAGCAACAGGCGAACCAGACACAGACGTTCCAGGAGCAGAAGTAGCAAACGCAGCAGAATCAGAAGCAGGGGACGATGGCTGGTACAAGGAAAAAGGGGAACTCACCTGCAGGCGAGGGCCAGCCATACCAGACGCACTAGTGGCACCAGTGGCACCAGTGGCAAGACCAACGGCACTGTGGGGGGTAGACCCTCCAGACGACCCTCCCGTGCTCTGTGGGCGTGGTGGCGGCAGACCCAGGCGCTTGAGCGAAGGGGTGGGGGGAGAGGGGCGAGGCGGAGGAGGGGCGCAGGGGCTGGGGGCGCTTGAAGGAGCGGCGCAAGGCGAGGGAGGGTGGAGACGGCTGCAGGGAGGGCGTGGTGGGCGGCTGTGGTGGTGGAACCTCTGCGGGGGAGCCGCTGGGGAAGCTGGGGTTGTGGGGGAAGCTAGAACTGCTGGGACTACTGGGGTTGCTTGGGGTGCTAGGACCTGCTGGGGCTGCTGAGACTGCTGGGACTGCAGAGGCAGGTGGGGCAGGTGTGGCAGCTCGAACTACTAGAGAAGGTGGGGCAACGGGGGCAGCTGCAACAGCTGCAGTAACTACTACAGCAGCGGGCACAGCAGCAGAAGCTTCATCTTCTGATGAAAAACCGTACTCCTGCTCCCTCTTCTCTTTCCCCCTCCCCCTCCCCCTCCCCTCCCCCTCCCCCTCCCCCTCCCCCTCCCCCTCCCCTCTCCCCTCCCCCTCCCCCTCCCCTTCTTCTGACTCATGCTGCTCCTCCTCGCTGCTTTGCACCCAGGCTTCCTCCGAACCACTCCCAACCGAATCCCTTGCTTCTTCTTCCACCCACTCCTCATCCTCCTCTTGCCTTCCTCCTTCGCTCTCACTCCTCCCTCTCACTCTCACTCCCCCTCGCACTCTCCCTCTCACTCTCTCTCTCACTCGCACTTCTGGAACCATACTCATCCTCCTCTTGGACTCTTTCCCCTCTCTCACTAGCCGACTCATACTCCCCTCCTCACCCTCTCCCACTCTCCTCCCCCTCTCTCCTCCATCTCCCACACTCACTCACTCCTATCAGACCCCCCAAATCCCTCACTCGCCTCCTCACTCCCCTCCCCACTCCCCTCCCCACTCCCCTCCTCACTCCCCTCCTCACTCCCCTCCCCACTCCCCTCCTCACTCCCCTCCTCACTCCCCTCCCCACTCCCCTCACTGCCTTCAGACAGCCCACTCCCATGGGAATCCTGCTTCAACAGAACTTTCAACTGCCCCTTCAGCTGCCCGAGCACCGCATCAAACCGCCTCTTGCTCTCTGCTCGAAGCATCTTCGCCACCTCTCCTCCTCCTCGCTCCCAACACTCTCCCCTCCTTCCTCCTCCAGATCATCCTCTCCCTCTGACATCCCATCCTCCTCTGACCCGACACCCTCTGACCTATCCCCTTCTGAACGCCTGTCACCTTTTGAGCTCTGCCCTGCTGCTGAGCTCCTGTCGTCTGTGAACACACTCTCCTCCTGCTCCTCCTCTTCCTCTTCTTCCCCTTCTGATCTCCTCTCGCTCTCTGACCTCCTGTCACTTTCCAAACTCCGCTCTCCCTCTGAGCTCCTATCGTCTGTAAACACACTCTCCTCCTGCTCCTCCTCCTCCTCTTCATCCTCATCCTCAATTGAGCTTCCCTCCTCCTCCTCCTCAGTTGCAGTAACATCCTCACTGCCTTCCTCCTCATCATCATCCTCCTCCTCCACCTCCTCCTCTTCCTCCTCCTCTTCCTCTGAACTAGGCTCTTGGGAACTCCCCCCCACCTTCACAGTGAGAGGCCTCTTCCATCCAGGCGACCGCATCGCATCCGCCAATGACGCAGCGCCACCTGTTGGCGTCCCAAGCTGATGGCTGGGACTAGCAGCACCAACGGCAGCGTTATTCGCACTCCTCACACTCTCGCTCTCCTTTCTCCCTTCACTCCCACTGCCACTATCGCTGTACCTCTCACTGCTCTTCTTGCTGAATCCCTCACCCTCCTCCTCAGACCCCTTACCCGTACCCTCGTATTCCGAATCGCTCTCTCAGATTCGCTTTCCCTCTGACTTGCTCCTCACAGACTTGCTACCTTGC